CGGGGGTCCCGCCTGCCCTGCTCGGCCCCGCTCAGCGCCGGCCCCCACGAGCGCTCGGGCCCCTCCAGCCTGGCGGCAGGGGCCACCTCTGGGGCCGGGGAAGCTCCCCTGCTCTGTCCTGGGGCCACGAGGCTGCAAGGCAGCAGGGAGGGTGACAGAGAAGCACCCGGCCCCTGCCAGCTGCCCCCAACCTTCCCCAGGGATAGCCGGGTCTCTGCAGGCTGCCTATGGCTGGGCTGGGCTGGGCTGGGCTGGTCAGCCAGGGCTGGGGCTAGCTGCAGGGGTGGGGGGCTGGGCAGGGCCCCCGAGAGCCGGGTCAGAGGCCAAGCCGTCCTTCCAGCGGAGCCTCCAGCCTGGCTGAGGCATGCCTCCATCTGTCCCCAGGAACCTGCTGGACATGGACACCTTCTCCAAGTCCGACCCTGGTATGTGTCCGCAGCCACAGGCCGTGGCCAGGGGTGCTGGGGCCCAGGCACGGGGATGACGTCCTCCAGGCCCCTGCGTGGTAGGCGGAAGGCTGCGGCCTGCGCGTCCAAGGCTGCGGCCTGCGAGTCCCTGGCACCAGCACCGGCCCCAGCCGCCGCGGCCTCTGGGCTGGTCTCCCTGGTGCCCTGTGGGCCCTGCCCCAGCCAGGGGCAGCTGGCGGGAGGGCGAGGGGCACCTGCGCTGGGTCGCGGGAGCCTGGGGGGCGCCTAGCTCAGCCGCGCTCTCCTCCTGGCAGTGGTGGTGCTGTACGTGCAGGGCACTGGGGACAAGGATTGGAGGGAGGTGAGTGACCCCCAAGGCTGGCGGCTCAGACCCCCCTGGCCGGGCCTGGCCCAGCCCTGGGGCTGCTTTGCTTGGGGACCCCCTGCTCCCTCCCCACGGCTCTGCCCTGCCCCTGTGCCCCAGCACAGCCCAGCCAGGCCCCCGCAGCCCCTGTGCCTCTCCCAGGACTGGGCCGGGAGGTGTTGCCAAGGGCTAGGCCGGGGGGGCCACCAGAGGCTGGGCTGCCCCCTCCGCAGCGCAGCACAGCTAATCGCCTCGTCGAACAGGCCCATATGCTCCGCTGCGCTAATGACCCCACTGCTGCGGGCACTAATCCCAGGGGATCCGGATTACAGCCCGGTAGCCGCACCAATTAGTGCTGCGGCCCAGCCGCCCTCGGGCACGCAGGGGCTGCGGTGGGGGCCCTGCTAGGCCATGCCAAGGCGGGCCAGGCTGCACTGCCCACACCCCCTCACCTGCAGTTCGGTCGCACTGAAGTCATTGACAACACCCTGAACCCCGACTTCGTCCGCAAGTTCGTGCTGGACTACTACTTCGAGGAGAAGCAGAACCTGCGCTTGGACGTGTGAGCACAGCCGGCCCCGCACCCCACCCCTGGGCCCTGCTCCGGGGGCCCACCCCACTCCTCTGCCCCTGCCGGCCCCAGCCGCTGCCCTGCCCTGGCCACTCTTCTCCCAACCTGCTCGTGCAGCCCCAGCTCAGGGCTGGGCCCTGGGCACCTCACAGCCCCCACTGCTGATGGGCTCTGGAGCGGGGTCCAGGCCACAGAGAGGTGATGTCCTGGGGCCGTCAGGGGGGCCAGGTGCTCAGAGGGGTGGGCAGGGCAACGTAGCCCTCATCCTCTGGCCCTGGGGGTTGGGCGCTGCAAGCCCATGGCTCTGGGGCGCAAAGGCAAGGGGGGCGCAGCCTGTGCCTACCTATTCCCACTGCTGCATTCACGGCTTTCCTCTCCCACTCCCAAGCTACAACGTGGACTCCAGGAGCTGCAACATCTATAAACATGTGAGTGCAGCCCTGTCTCCAGCCCTGCGGCATGTCTCACCAGGTCCCAGCTCACCTTGCAGGGGAGGGGGAGCCCTGACCTTGCTGCCCCAGGCCCAGGGGCTGCCTGCCAGGGCAAGCCTGGCATTGGGGTGTCATGGGCCTGGGCTGGGATGAGCGCTGGTTGCTGCATGGTCCGGATAGACACAGCTGCCCCAGGCTGGGGCCACGGCTGCTCCCTTGGCTCTGCCAGAGCCCATGCGGGGTCCTGCCCATCACTGACAGGTCTGTCCTGGGGGGAGCCCGACCTCCCCACGGTACAGCTCAAACCTGCTCTGTCTCTCTCTGCTGCCTGGCGCCGGGACCCACAGAAGGTACGTGCCTGCAGCGGGCAGGTGGGGACAGACTGCGATGGCGGGGGTGGCCCTGGGGGAAACAGCCAGGCCCAGGCTCAGATTGGGCCCCCTCGTCTCTGCCAGGGAGGGAGGGGGTGGGAGTGGGGTCCCACAGGGACAGGACAGGGTCCCGTGGCAGGAGCAGTGCGTGGCAGGGCCCTGGGGCGGCTGCACGCAGTGCTCAGCCCTGAGCCGTGTCTGGCACAGGACTTCCTGGGACAGGCCTTTGTGGCGCTGGGCGAAGTCATCGGTCATCGGGTCCCGCAGAGGCCGCCTGGAGAAAGCCCTGACGTGAGTCACGGAGCCCAGGAAGCAGCCCCCAGCCGTGCCTTGCCCTGTTCTTGGCCCGTTCAAGACCTTCCTCTCCCTGCCCAGTGGGGTGCCGGGCAAGAAGTGCGGGACCATCGTGGTGCTGGCAGAGGAGCTGAGTAACTGCCGGGTAAGCGTGAATGCCCCCAGCCCCATGCTGTCCTGCACAGCCCCCACCTCGGCCCAGCTGGAGGGGCCAGACCTAGAGGGCAGGGCCTGGGGAAGCCCAGGTGTGACGGGCCCAAGGTGGGTGTGGGGGGCGTGAGCACGGACTGCCCTGGCGCTGACTGGCCTCTGCCCACAGGACGTGGTCACCATGCAGCTGTGCGCCAACAAGCTGGACAAGAAGGATTTCTTCGGGAAGTCGGACCCCTTCCTTGTCTTCTACCGCAGCAACGAGGATGGCACGTACGTGGGGACCAGGCCGGGCTGGACCAGGGGGCTCCCCGCGCAGCCGCTCTCAGCCCACCCCTCTGCTGCTCCTACAGGTTCACCATCTGCCACAAGACGGAGGTGGTGAAGAACACACTCAACCCCGTGTGGCAGCCGTTCACCATCCCCGTGCGAGCCCTGTGCAACGGGGACTACGACAGGTTGGTCAGGGCCTGCTCCTCCCACCCTCGTGCCCCAGCAGCACGTGCTCCCTGCGGCTCGTGCCGGGCCCAGCGAGCACCCACAGTTGTGCAGACGCAGCCCTGCCCGGGCGGGATGGGTGCGTGGTGCCCAGGGCTGAGAGGATGGACAGCATTGTGCTGGGGGCCGATGCCCGCTCACCGTGACTGGCTCCTCTGTTCCAGGACAGTGAAGGTCGACGTGTACGACTGGGACCGGGATGGCAGGTGAGGCGTCCCCAGGGCTCTGCTGTCTGCCAGGCTGCACGAGCCCTGCTGTGCCCACAGGCCTGCTCTTGCCCACCCGTGGCCCTTGGGCCTCCTGTTGGGAGCTGCCCTTGGCAGCATGTCCCGGCTCCAGCACCACGGCCCTGCCTGCTGAGCCTGGGCAGGGCAGCCTCTGCTTCCATCTCCCGGGGAGCACGGGGCTGGGCTTCGAGCTGAGAACCCGGGCTCGTCTCACGTGGGGGTGGAGAGGAGCTGTGTGCAGGGCTGGGTCTGGCCTGGCCCAGGGGCTGTGGGTCACTCCCCTTGCACAACCGCTTTGCCCCCAGCCACGACTTCATTGGGGAGTTTGCCACCAGCTACCGGGAGCTCTCCCGCGCCCAGAGCCAGTTCACGGTCTACGAGGTGAGGCCGCGGGCCCCGTCCTCCTCCCGCCGGCATGGGGCAGGCAGGGCTGGGGGTGGCTTTGGGGCAGACCTGGGGGTGCATGGAGCTGGGGGGGGCGCTGCTGGGGCCTGACCACCCCTCTGCACCAGGTGCTGAACCCCAGGAAGAAATGCAAGAAGAAGAAATACGTCAACTCGGGAACTGTGAGTGTCCCCCACTCTGCTTAGCCAGGCTGTGCCCCCCG